CAACTTAAGGCTGAATCCCGAAAAATGTGAATTTGGGAAGCGATCCCTCCGTTACCTTGGACACCTCGTAACTTCCGAAGGCATCCGAACCGATCCGGATAAAGTGGCCGCTATCCAAGAACTTCAGATTTGGTTTACTTTAAGCCACCATACAAGTGCACCATATGTTATCATCACTCTACAACCGTAGTGTATATCCAGTGTACAACTGACGGTTTTAGTCCCCATGTTTCCCCAATCACTCTTTTCAGTGACATCAACGTCATCTTGCTTTTGGTGGTTATCTTTTGGAGGTGTTGGTTCCATGTCAGCTTCATATCTAGTATGACGCCTAGAAATTTAGCTTCCCTGCCAAACTCCAAAGCTTTTTGGAATAGACTGGGGGCGATTAAGTCCTCTAGATTTCTTTTTCTCGTGAAAAAAAAATAGTTTTGTTATGGAGGGGTTGACGCGAAGTTGCTCCCTCGTGCACCATTCTTCAATGATTCCTAAGACGTTCTGCATGAGGTTTGATATCCTCCTGGTATATTCTCCCCTAATGACAACGACTATATCATCCGCGTAGCCTAGGGTGAAATAGCGTTGATCTTTAATTTTCCTCAAAAGTTCATCCACGACTAGATTCCACAAGAGTGGTGAAAGTACTCTGCCCTGTGGGCAGCCTTTTGTCGCGATTACTTTAATAGAGGTTTCAGCAATAGTCGAGTTTGGATTTGATCCATCTGCATGTGGTATCATTAATCACATGTTGCCCAGCAGCTCTGACCATGGAGTTGAAGGAGGTATGGTAAAAGCAGGCTCCTTCTATGTAAAGGAATGCTACTTGTTTTCTAGTGAGTTCTCTACTCTTGTCACCAGTTGGTGTAGAGCTGATTCCCATGATTTACCTGGTTGGAAAGCTTGTTGGTTTTGGTGAAGTGGCCTCTGTTTTGGTGGGGTTTCCCTGATGTGCTTTTCAACTAGTTGTCAGATTTAACATAAAGAATGATACGCTGATTGGTGTATATATATGAACATCGACTGGGTAGAGTAGCTCAAGTGAAGTCTACTTCCAACTATACCGATGTAAATTAAGCTTCATGCAGTTTTTTATTTATTTGAAATAGTTTGGTGAGATTTTGGTAAACATTTCGTACGAATAATCTAGAATCTTATTTTATTTACAAGGCAATGTTGGCTAATGTAGCTATTTATTTCTTACAAGGTTTTTCCTGACAGAATCTCTCTATCAATAATGAATCTAAGTCTTAACTATAGTTTCGTTTGATCGTTTGGAATCTGGAGTTTTGGTAGTCTATATACCCAGGTGGTATGACTTGATATTTTTGTTAGATTATTTGTTATAGGTAATAGCCTTCAAGTACCGGAATATCCAATTTTTAAAAATACATATTGTCACAACCCCTATACGTTTCGTCCTGGGACGTCACAACAGGAGCGTGACCTGGGGGCGTAGGTGGGGTTCAGATATAGAGAGAAACTCGCTTGGTATAGGAAAAGTTTGGTATAGGTATAATAAGATAATGTATTGAATACTAATAATATTACCCTAGAAATGGTATCATGACGTCTCTTTTACGGAGGGACGTACTACTTATAGGCCACTCACAGATCATTCCAAAGCTATATTTACGTCTGTTAGTATTTTAAGAATAAGCAATAATTTTTTTGACAAAATAAAGATTGTAATAATGCGTTAAAAATCACAAACATGAATGCTACGCTTCGATAATTAAATATTCAATAACTATTACCGCATGATGTAAAATATAAAAACAGATTAGAGTAATTCGACTTTGAGCAAACAATCAAACATGAACATCTGGATTTTGCCAAATGCCTTTTCCCAATAAATACTTTAAGCATGTTATGCAAGTGCATTTTTTGGATCAGGGAACTGTACAGAGACGTAATCATCGTTGTTGATGGAAATAAAATATGTGAACAGATTGATACAACAAAAGGATTTACGGAAGAAATTATTATTCTCGAATGGAGATTTTTTGAGAATTGAGTACCTATCCTTTTTATATATATAAAATGGTATGACTTCTTGTCTGTTAATTTCCAAGAGTTTTTTATACGTATTTCATGACCTATTACTTCTTTGGCTTGATCTACTCAACAAGTTCGAGATCTAATTAGTTTGCTCTTGGTTGGTTTACCATTTATTTCTTCAAACTATCCGCCCTTTTTGATACAAATTCAATGGGTCCTAAACATCTTACTTGATTTTTTTCTGTAGAACGGCTTATTGTGTCGCCCACAATAACAAAACTGATGCATTTTTAGAATCTAATAAGAGTATTTTTTTGCAAGAAGGTGCTTAGAATGTTTGCCAAAACCATTGCGAATGTCCTGAGAATGTTGAATCCTCTATGAGACGGTTTGAGAAATACTGTCCACAATACCTACACAGGAACTCTCTGGAAGTTCATTTAGGGTAGGTAGGTATACGTGAGTAAATCCTTAAACGAATATTTTTGTTCGCTTCTGATAAAGTAGATACTTCTTATGTTTTTTCTCACATTCGAAGAATTTTCTTTACATACAACATAGGTAAGTTTTCTTTTTCTCCAAGCTCTCAAGTTATCATCTTTGCCAAAAAATAACAAAAAGCCTAGCAAAAAGTTTTCTTGAAAAATCCAACATCAGTTTTCAAAAATTTTCGTCAATGATAGTTTCAGACAAAAATAAAGAACACTCAATTGCTAGATGTCTAAAATTTCAAGTCACTGTCTAATAAATCTTTAAGATATTCCAAAAACTCTTTCTAGTTTGAGGTCGGTTTCCAAAAAGTTGATATTTGGAATGTTATTTCAGCGAAAATCTTAAGAATACTTGATCATCGATTGTAAGTAGTAAACTTATTCAACATGATTTTTTTGCAAATCTCGAAGGTCTTGCTTACGGTCTCTTCACCAAATAGACTAGCTGAAGTTATTCAGCTAGTTCTTGAACAAGAATTACCTTTTTTTCTGAGCTAATCTTTTCAAAAATCTTCAAATAATATACATACATGTTTCCTTCACACCTATAGTCTATTTGGAAATGCGAGGCAGTTGTCAATGTCATAATTGACTCGCCATAGGCGTCTTATATACATATTTTCCAAAGAAGGTAATATTAAATTTTAAAATGTATTAATTTAGGTATACATGATTAGAATGAGAGATATGTTTTGCCATATAACAAACATGACAATAATAATATCTCTCACTCTCTTTGTAAATACGCTTTTACTATGCATACCGCCATACATCTATTAATGGGCTTAGTCAGGTATTGAAAATATTCTAGTAAAGGTAGGTATATTGGTTATGTAATTAGTTATAGAAGGGTATACCTATATCTATACCTATACATTCAAATCATTTAAAGTGGAAAAATTAGTAAAATTATCCAGTATTTATGTGGAAGTGTTTAGAAAGTGTGTGATCGAGATTCGTAAATTTAGAATTTACTGAAAAATGGCTAGTGTTTTTTTCCGAATTTTCTACTGTTAAAAAAATATCCATCAGTAATAGGGTAGTGGACATTTTTTTGAAATATTTTTTTTATTAATCTTCATAACAAAATAAACAGTAGCTAATGATTCTTTGATTTTAGAAAAATATACGTAAAAAAAAAATTCACAAATCTGTACTTATTTTAAACGCTATAATTTACCGCCCGGAAATTACGTCATAGCTGTTATGTCCAATAGCGTCAAGGCATTCCGGCATTAATAAAAGTGGCGAGAGCGCGGTCCGTGCGTCCTTATATTTTACATGCTTTTAGACAAAGATGCCAATATACTCGGTGCGCACTGATTGACAAATGGAAATCTCTCAAAAAGTGGGGTTATGTTGAGGGTGCGCCTATATGTAATGATACCCGACAGACGCTCTCTTTTTTGCACTAGTGAGTAAGTTTGTGTCGAATATCGAATGTAGGTTTGATTTAATTCATACTCAAATACAGCAGCTATGACGTAGAACGAGGCGCGAAATAATTCCGTTTGAATAGTCCGTCCCAAAACTCTACTTTTACAACCATTTTGAACAAAGTTAGCAATTTTATCTGAAATTTCTTTCAATGCGAATATTTTTTATTTACTTCATAGATGAAGAATAGATCAGCGATTTCATTGAAATTATATCTTGTCCACTACCCTATTGGCCTTTTACTCTTACAGAAAAGGCAATTATTTTAAATGTATACAACGCACTTGACCACCAACATCGTCAAGCCACCGTTGTTAGAATTAAATTTCTGAAATGTGTTCAAATATGACGGGAGTTAGGTACTCTAAAAAATGTCTATTTGTATTCTTGGATGTACCAGCAAAGTCTGTACCAGGTTGCACCTCTTGTTGCTTGGGGGTTTTCTGAATTCTGCTCCGCCATTTGTCTCTTTCACTGTAGCCTGCGCAAACTTGTAGCTGATTACGTAGCTCCCTGATTTAAGTTTATCAGCATACCCACTGTCTACAGAGAGAGTTAAGGTAACTAGATGACCATAATCTCCACACTTGATGACCCTCCAGTTCAGGCCTTCATTCTGGCCTTCTACAAGTTTGAGGACTTTCTCTGTTGAGTAGTCCTGACTCCCTGGAAATCTCGCTACCATAACATCTGAATGAGGGATTTTACTGATTTTAGACTCATCTACCATCTCTAATGATGCTCCTAATTTCCGATTCCTTTGCCATATTTAATGATGCTCTTTTCCAGAGTTCGAGTTGGCTGACTATGCTCTGCAGCCATTGCTTTGTGGCTGTATTTTTGCAGGAATTCTCTAGTCCTCCGCTATACAACACCAAAGTGTACCCGAGCTAATACCCATCTGATATACCGAGAGGTCTCGTTCAAACAAATGGACTATATGTAGGTATTACCTACATATTAATAATTTTGTTGGAAAATTGCATATTTTTTATTTATTTTTTAATTTTAAAAACTTAATTTCAATTCCGGCACTGCTAATTGTATTATCAATTTTCCCATATGTTTTCGTTTATTCTACTATCAAGAAATTACATTATAGGCTATATAAAGCAAATTATTATCACTAAAATTTAGTAACTTTTGTCAATCTAATTGCAGTATTTTTTCCCCTTTCACGTCGTTACAATGGTATTTGATATCAAAGGGAAATTCGCTCTTATCACTGGTGCAGCTAATGGAATCGGTTTGGCTTATGTCCAAGAGCTTTTGAAGAATGGGGCAAAAGTAAGTGAAAATGCTTTAAATGTTCAATCATTTTTCCTCAATTTTTTTGAATAGGTACCTATAAAGGCACATTTCTCTGTGGTTTTTGAAGCAATAATATAGTGGGCGTATGTTTTGATTTTTTGCCTATAATAGCTCATGTTACATTTGAAATGATAATAATTGAAATCCAGAATTAATCTGCCTTTAAGTTGAAGGTCAAAAAATAGAAGAATTTCAATTCGTTAAACAAAAAATCAAATGCTTCATAATCATTTTCTACGTCTTCTTAAATTAAAGTGCCACATACAGATTCCTGCGTAGGCGCCCATCGTTTTTTCCTATCAAATACTTCTATGAAATACAGCGGTTTGTAGTGTCTGGAAGGCCTGCCGTACATTCCGTAGCCAGGATAGCTTCTTTATTCCTATTCTCCTCCTTCCTCCTTCCCTGAAAGCAATAACGTTCTCCGCGTATTATTTGTCTCAGATAAGATATTTTTTTGCGCTTCATGGTTTCGAAAAGTTCTAGCAGTTCAGTCCTTGGGTTGACCTCTTCATTTGTGGTGTGATCCACCCAAGATATTCTAAGCATCCGTCTCAAGATCCACATTTCGAAAGCTTCGATTTCGTTTGTGGTGCTTACCTTCAGTGTCCATGTCTCCACTACTCCGTAAAGCAGGACCGATCAGATATAACATTTTAGCATCCTATTTGTGAGTTTAAACTTCAAGTTTCTTCCAATGAGAATGAAGTCTTCGGAAGGTTAATCTTGCCTGTTCTATCTTACATCTTATCTCTTTCTCCGGATACTATCTTTCATTCAGCATGCATCTCAAATATTTAAAGTTTGTTCAATATTTTCTCATAGCTATTTGGGTATTCAAGATATTGTCTCTAAGTCTCTCCTCACAATCATCAACTTCGGTTTGCTAGTGTTAATTCTCTTCAAGCTCAGTTGCCAAAAACACTTCGCCCGCTTCGTGTGGTTCGAGTAAATAGTCCCGCGGTTTTTCGTTTGCCGCGACCGGTTAAATCAAGACGGTTTCGTTGCACACCTATGCATGGGACCTAAACTTCCTGAATGAGCTGGCCAGCTGAGTGGAGTTTGGAAGTAGAGTAAGGTAAGGCGAAAAAAAAAAACCTTTTTAGTTTCAAGCCTTGCCTGCTCCATTGATTTGATTCGGTAATGTCTGAAGATCTTCTGCATTGTTTGCTAATATTGGTATCGTCTGCATATTATCTGATATTGTTGATAGGGATACCGTTCACCTTAATGCCATACTTTGTTCAAACGCTCCTTCTGCATGTGGATTGAACAGCATTAGAGACAAGATATATTTTTGTCTGACTCCTTTTCTTATTCTAAATTGGCCTGTTGTTGTTGAGTTGTCTAACCGAACTTCCACTTTTTGATTGTAGTAATAACAACCAATAAGTCTTATGTCCTTATCACCGAGTCAAGACATGATTTCAAGAGATTATGTCTAACATTGTCACATGGTTTCTCGTAGTCAATAAAGCATGTAAAGTCTGCAGAATGAATATAGTTTCCCTATAGTTCCTTAAACACAAACTGACTAGTTCCGCTAACTTCTTCGCACTTTTTGTAGAAACTTGTGCATAGAGTTCGAAGAAAGAGCTTCATAAAGTGGATCATGAGACTAACGAGACGATATTCCCTGCATGCTTTTGGGTTCTTTAATTTTTATAGTATTGTTAATGAATTGCACTATTGTTTTTATGTTTTGTTCGTTGATTAACTACAACGTCTCTGAAGGATGCTCTGAATACATGTCATCAGATCGCAGAGCCTTGTTGATTTACATTTGTTTCATGGCATATAGGATTTCGCTATCTAATATTTTTGGTCTCGATAGCTGGGTATCTTTCACTTTGACTGGTGAACTTTCACCTGGTCTGTTGTCATCAAAAGGGTTGGTTGTTTATCTCTTCTGCGTTTCCAATAGTTCTTTGGGGTCTGTTTCTTGTTGTGCTCATCTCTGATATAGACCCGCTATTTCTTTTACTTTTTTACTGTCTCCAAGGACTCCAAGGCGGCTCAGATATAGCCATTTCTCTTTTGTCATCCTGATTTCACATTTTTTTCTCTGTTTGTATTTGTATCAATCTCAATCATTCAGAGTTTAATACTTTCTCCTCTCTTCCATTAATTCCAGAATTTCATTCGCGTTACCTACCCTCTAAAAATAGATAGATTAACATAAGGAAACTAATTTTGAGTCCAAAAAGCCTTGATCCATATTGTGAGCATATTTTTTTCCAGGGTGTTGCCATAGTGGACATCAGCAAAAATGGAGAGGAAGTAGCAGCACAATTCAACAGACAATACGCTGACAGGACAATTATTTTCATTTTAGCAAATGTTACTAACAAAAGCGAACTGGAAGGTAACATTTTACAAAAAAAAACAAACTATTGAAAGAATATATTTATTTCAGCTGCTTTCAACAAAGCTTTTTCAACTTTTAAAACTTTAGACATCGTAATCAACAATGCAGGTATCTTGAACGATGCTCAATGGGAAAAACAAGTCGCTTTAAATTGTGTAAGAACCACTTGAATTCCATAATGCAATATATTAAAAAAAAAAAACAAATTCTAGAATGCTGTCGTCGAAGGTAGCCTTCTAGCAATCAAATTTTTCGGCAAAAATAACGGAGGCAAAGGAGGAGTCGTAGCCAACATAGCGTCAATTCTAGGCCTCCAAAAACTCTCTGGATGTCCAATCTACGTAGCCACCAAACATTTCGTTGTAGGCTTGACCAGATCATTCGGCTCAGACTTCTACTGGGATTTGACCGGCATCAAATTCGTCACTATGTGCCCAGGAGTCACTGACACACCGCTTATTTCTGAAGCCAGCAAATTCGCTTTGCAAGGACAATATCCCAGATTGGGTGAACTTTTAGCTGGAGAATTGGGAGCTTTAGCTCCACAACCGTAAGATATATTTTTTTTTGGATTGCTCAATTTTGCTAATTTTTTGCTGTTTGTTTTAGAACTTCGAATGTTGCTGAAGGCATGATTACACTTATAACCAAAGGCGAGAATGGTAGTGTATGGGTATCTGAAGGCGGACAAGATGTTTATGAAGTTGAAATTCCGGATAGGCTTAGTTTACGCAAGAACTGAGTTATTTTTTTGTGTGAATATGTAGTGTTATTATTTATTAAATTTGTAAGAATAAGACAAGAAACTGTAGACCAAGAAAATCGTTATATTCTGGCAAATAAAAACCTAATGAATATTTGTTTGAAGTAATAACGAGAAGATGGGGTCACAGAATAATTAAAGTATTTTTTCCAATTTCGGTTTTTATTATTATTCATTTATTCATAATCGCATTAACATTCTAGCTAGTACATATACGGCCTCTCTTCAATCTCTATTCAAAATATTAATGGTCAGTCACCTAAAAATCTCTCCTATGCGGTCGCTGGTCAGCATTTCACGCGCGTAGTACCCGAAAGAAAAAAAAAAGATATTCTTCACGCATCGCGTCGGAGTAGGTAGTACTACTGGCTAACTACCTACTTTAACCGTGAATCTTCCGTCTGCTGCGTCTGAAGCAAAATAGACGTGATCGTACCGCGGCAATTCACGGACTTCTCGCCAGTCTTTCGACTTTGCGGTGTTTATTTGTTTGGCGCCAACGAATTTGAACTTTTTTAGTTTTTTCTGAAGTGAATTATTGTGGTGCATTTTGAGGACTTTTGATATGAGGGCATACCAATGTCGGCTAGATTTGGATTGAACGTTTTGCTTGTCGATGAACATTTTCTGTCATAAAAAGGTAAGAATTTCATTGCATGAAGAATCAAGTTTTTTAAATAAAAAACATAGCTACCTTTTCATGTAGAAAGGTAAATTTAATGGAATAACAATATTGCTTCTTTCACATAATACCAATTAGCATTTAAACCTCATTAATTAACAATTGTTTACTAATATGCTTTCTCATCTCATAAAGTTTTGACTTAGGTATTAGAAATTTCTCAATTAGGTAGGTGGGTATAACAATAATGATAATTTACCAAAAATTACTTTTGTTCAATATGAAAGACTATAATATGTATTATGTATTTTGTGGGAAATAATGAATACAATGAATTCATTTTTCTTTCGCTCTTGATGCGATAATTAAAGTACCGAGTAAAGTATCTTCTACTTACTAGATTGGCTTAGATCTTAATAATTCGTCGGATATTTGATGGATATCAATTTTTTTTGAAGAGTCTCCTATTAATCATTTCAAACATTTTTCGAAAAATGTTCTTCATTTGATGGTTTCTAGAAGAAAGAAGAGAGTCAAAAGGAGATTTTTGTCCAGATGCAAGGGATAAGACAATAATCTCAGAGATACATACATGACTTGGGCAATCACCAATGAAAATAAGCCTTTGTTTGGGAACAATAGACAATAACGACAGTGAACGTGAAATAAGTAGTTTTAGCGACAGTTTGGTAGTACCAAAGGAAAAGCAATGGCGCCATTGTTAGGTACCGGTTTGAAGTAAAAGTAGAGTACCTAAATGTTTTATAGTTCCACAATAACGTATGTACCTACGATTGAATCAGAAAATTCGAATTCAGTGTTCTAGTCAATACATACATTGTTTTGTAAAACATTTAAGTTTCATTAATGAATTATCTATTTTACTAACAATAATTATGAAGTTCATATTTCAAATTGAAAAGCTACTGGAATTACGTACTTAAATTATGTCTGTCGTACACTTGTAGGTTAAATTTAATCTGTGAAAGTTAGTTGATTTACAGGAATTTTTAATTTATTATTTTCCATTGGGAAAATTTGAAATTTTAGTATGATGAACTTCTAATTATCTTTTTTTTATCCTGAAAGTTTCAAGGTTTTCCCTCAGTTTCTCCGAAAAATATTAAAATGTAAGAGGGTGCCTTTTTTTTAAATTGAAACTATGAAAGTTGATTTTCAGGAATTTCTCATTTCTCATATATTATGATTTTCCATTGGGGAAATTTGAGATTTCAGTATGATTAACTCCCAATTATTTTATTCGTATCCTAGAAGTTTCAAACTTTTCCCTTCACTAGTTTTTCATAAAAATATTAAAATGTGAGAGGACGCATTTTAGAGGTATCTAAAAATTCAAACTATGAAAGTTGATTTTCAGGAACTTCTCATCGTATGATTTTCCATTGGGAAAATTTGAAATATTATCCTTTTTATCCTGAAAATTTCAAAGTTTTCCTTTAGTTTCTCCGAAAAATATTGTGTAAGTGGGCGCCTTTTTTTAAATTGAAACTACGAAAGTTGATTTTGAGGAATTTCGCATTTTCTTTTCATCCTAGTAGTTTCCAGAGTTTCCCTTCACCAGTTTTTCAGAAAAATATCAAAATATGAGAAGATGCATTTTTAAAAATTTAAACTATAAAAGTTGATTTCCAGGAATTTCTCATGTTAGGATTTTTCATTGGGGAAATCTGAAATTTTAGTATGATAAACTACTAATCACCCTCTTTTTATCCTAAAAGTTTTAAAATTTTCCCTTTACCAGTTTTTCAGAAAAAAATTAAAATGTAAGAGGGTGCATTTTTAAAAATTCAAACTATGAAAGTTGATTTTCAGGAATTTCTCATGTTATGATTTTCCATTGGGAAAATCTGAAATTTTAGTATGATAAACTCCTAATCACTTTGTTTTTATCCTAAAAGTTTCAAAATTTTCCCTTTATTAGTTTTTCAGAAAAAACTAAAAATGTAAGAGGGTGCATTTTTAAAAATTTAAAATATGAAAGTTGATTTTCAGGAATTTCTCATGTTATTATTTTCCATTGGGAAAATCTGAAATTTTAGTATGATAAATTCCTAATCACCTTCTTTTTGTCCTAAAAGTTTCAGAATTTTCCCTTTACTAGTTTTTCAGAAAAAACTTAAAATGTGAGAGAACACATTTTGTACCTATCTAAAAATTCAAACTATGAAAGTTGATTTTTTGGAACTTCTCATCTTATGATTTTCCATTGGGAAAATCTGAAATATTTGTATAATGAACTTCCAATTACCTTCTTTTTATCCTAAAAGTATCTAAATTTTACCTTCACCAGTTTTTCAGAAAAATATCAAAATATGAGAGGATGCATTTTTAAAAATTTAAACTATAAAAGTTGATTTTCAGTAATTTCTCATGTTACGATTTTCCATTGGGGAAATCTGAAATTTTAGTATGATGAACTACTAATCACCCTCTTTTTATCTTAAAGGTTTTAAAATTTTCCCTTTACCAGTTTTTCAGAAAAAATTTAAATGTAAGAGGGTGCATTTTTAAAAATTCAAAATATGAAAGTTGATTTTCAGGAATTTCTCATGTTATTATTTTCCATTGGGAAAATCTGAAATTTTAGTATGATAAATTCCTAATCACCTTCGTATTGTCCTAAAAGTTTCAGAATTTTTCCTTTACTAGTTTTTCAGAAAAAACTTAAAATGTGAGAGAACACATTTTGTACCTATCTAAAAATTCAAACTATGAAAGTTGATTTTTTGGAACTTCTCATCTTATGATTTTCCATTGGGAAAATCTGAAATATTTGTATAATGAACTTCCAATTACCTTCTTTTTATCCTAAGCGTTTCTAAATTTTACCCTCACCAGTTTTTCAGAAAAATATAAAAATATGAGAGGATGCATTTTTAAAAATTTAAACTATAAAAATAGATTTTTAGGAATTTCTCATGTAACGATTTTCCATTGGGAAAATCTGAAATTTTACTTTGATGAACTAATCTGAAATTATACTATGATGAACTCCTAATTGTCTTCTTTTCATCCTTAATGTTTCAAAATTTTCACTTGACTAGTTTTTCAGAAAAAAATTAAAATGTTAGAGGGTGCATTTTTTAAAATTTAAATTTTAAAAGTTGATTTTCAGGAATTTCACATCTTACGATTTTCCATTGGGAAAATCTGAAATTTTACTTTGATGAACTAATCTGAAATTATACTATGATGAACTCCTAATTATCTTCTTTTCGCTCTAAAAGTTTCAAGATTTTCCTTTCACTAGTTTTTCAGAAAAAACTGAAAATGTAAGAGGGTGCATTTTTAAAAATTCAAACTATGAAAGATGATTTTCAGGAATTTCTCATGTTATTATTTTCTATTGAGAGAATTTGAAATTTTAGTACGATGAACTCCTAATTATCTTCTTTTTATCCTGAAAATTTCAAAGTTTTCCTTTAGTTTCTCCGAAAAATATTGTGTAAGTGGGTGCCTATTTTTAAATTGAAACTACGGAAGTTGATTTTGAGGAATTTCGCATTTTCTTTTCATCCTAGAAGTTTCCAGAGTTTCCCTTCACCAGTTTTTCAGAAAAATATCAAAATATGAGAGGATGCATTTTCAAAAATTTAAACTATAAAAATTGACTTTTAGGAATTTCTCATGTAACAATTTTCCATTGGGAAAATCTGAAATTTTACTTTGATGAACTAATCTGAAATTATACTATGATGAACTCCTAATTGTCTTCTTTTCATCCTTAATGTTTCAAAATTTTCACTTGACTAGTTTTTACCAGAAAAAAATTAAAATGTTACATGGTGCATTTTTAAAAATTTAAATTTTAAAAGTTGATTTTCAGGAATTTCTCATGTTACGATTTTCCGTTGGGAAAATTTGAAATTCTAGTATGATGAACTCCTAATTATCTTCTTCTCGTTCTAAAAGTTTCGAAATTTTCCCTTGACTAGTTTTTCAGAAAAAAATTAAAATGTAAGAGGGTGCATTTTTAGAAATTTGAACAATGAAAGCTGATTTTCAGGAATTTTTCATGCTATGATTTTCCATTGGAAAAATCTGAAATTTAAGTATGATGAACTCTTAGTTATTTTCTTTTTATGCTAAAATTTTCAGAATTTTCTCTTCACTAGTTTTTCAAAAAAATATTAAAATGCAAGAGGATGAATTTTTTTAAATTCAAATCATGAAAGTTGATTTTCAGGAACTTCTCATTTTTTTGATTTTCAATTGGAAATATCTGAAATTTTAGTATGATGAACTCCTAATTATCTTCTTTTTATCATAAAAGTTTACCATAGAAAAATTTATGTGCGTCAAAAATACGCGTTTGATCTTAGGTTGGTTCTTATAGGGCCGGTTTATTCATCTTTTGATAAACTGTCAAGTATGCAATCTGACTGATGGAATCGCAATCTACATTGCCATTGGTCGATTAGTTATTCGCTGACCAATAGAATTATAGAACAGTGAATTTATGTCGCAGATAGTTACCAGCAAGTTTATCTGAGGATGAATAAACCGTGACTAAATATTTTTATTCACCTCTTCAGCTTTCTAAAACACATCTTTGGGCAGATTTTGCTGGATAATAATTTTCTGAATTCTGCTGGATATTCACCGCGGATATCCTTGGGGCGGTTTTTGTGAGGATATACGTTTGATGTCCATCTTGAGGACCTCTATTTCAGATATGGGTTTGAATATTTCAAACATGGAATAGATGTCCTGTTAACGACTGTTTTACGAATATACGTTTTGGATATTCTGAGGACATCCGGGTCAAGTTACATGAAAGTCGAAACGGAACTTGAAAATGAAGTTATGAGAAAGGTTGCTGACAAGTTGTTTAAAGGAATACTTTAATGATATTCTCAATACATTCGTTCCAAGTAGGTACCATGAACGTCTAGTTTAGAAGGTCTGAAAGTACCAGGCCCTGGACACAATCTTGAATAACACATAAATACAGGTAGACATGGTATTAAAACATTCTCCTGAGAACGCTGCTCCCAGTTCCAAAAATAAGGACCCAGGCCTATTTTGAAACATAATCTGTCAAGTACTTTGGAGACTGACAGTTTCTTCGGGGCCGGACTGATATGAATTCATCTCCGGATGTGTCCAAGTGTGGATTTTTTCCTGGACAGATATTCCAGTAGTTTAGTTGTCTTTTTGTTGAACAAACTTTTATTTATATTTAGGTTGTACTTTTCAACAGCTGTCAGAAAAGCTGATAGATTCTTATCTTGCTCTTCTTGATTTTTTCCACAAATTGTTATATCATCGAGATATGCGTAGACGCTTTCTAGATTCTTTTGCCTAATTATTGTATGTAAGACTCTTTGAAAACAAGCTACGCCGTTAGTCACACCAAATGGGATACGAATAAACTGGTACAGGTTTCCATCAGCGTCAAAAGCAGTGAACTGTTTTTCATCGTCTCTTATTGGGAACGGGTGATACGTACTGTCTAGGTCAATAGTGCTAAAAACGTAAAATTTTGAGACTGCGTTACCAACCCTTCGATATTAGGTAAAGGATAAGCGTCAAGGTAACTGAACTGTATCAAACAAAAAATCTTCTGGAGAGGGAACAGACGAATTCGGAATCTACTAATATCCAATATGATACACCCTAAACACTTCATTGCATGTCCCTAGAAGTTCTTCCGTGGAGGGTTTCTATTCAACATCTTTGGGGAAAATGTATGTAGGAGTTCCATTCATGCAGTCATTGACCAATGGCGTATTGGGAACACAACACTGATACACAACATCTACTTAAGTCTGATGTCGTTTTCAGTTAAAAAGTAAATCCGAAATGGACCGTCATCAGCTGACTGAATCCTGATAATTATTAGGCTGTTCATTTGTACTTGCTCTACCTGCTCGAAAAATCAGAAAGATTTGCTAGGAGCTGATATTTATGAACTTAAATATGGGACAAGTGAACGCCGATCTGCTGCTGAGATCTGCTTGAAGCAAGAAAAGCAGTACAAATGAACAGCCTATTTAAATCTATGAATCCAATTTTGTTTGCCATCAGAAGCTACTGTTATTTAAGTCAAGTAACGCCAAATATCCAAAATCAAATCCTACTTATTTCTGTAGACAATAATTTCCCACGACAATCGCAAAAGCTGAATTAGGAACTGTAAAGGAGCCCACATGACAACTCATGAGAAGACTCGGATGGCTTTTCGCCCACGCAAGTTGACCAAAAGAGATGTTAAAATGCTTATTACGCGTATAATTAGTAAAGCAAATAAGTATAAAATAAATAAAATATAAACTTCGTCTTCACATCCATGTTAGAAATCAGCCTCCACAGGACCCAAACCAAAGGAGAAAAAAAAAAAAAACATAATAAAGGTAGGTATTACCTAGAAGGCAGGTGCTCGCAGGTGTCCGCTTTTTTCAAGCCCACTTGGAATACAAGGGCTCTCTTTAAACTACAAAAACAGGTCTCGCTTTTAAATGGCATATATGTATTTCCCCTTGCATTTCCTTTTAGAATTTTAATTTTTTTTTGTCTGTTCTTGTTTTAGATGTCCTAAAATGGCAACGTGCATGAAAATGGCAACCCCACAAGTAATATCAATTGCGACACCTTTAAAAGAACCCATTCTTGGAGCATCAGTGACTACAAAAGGACTCACTAATCATCCTGGACAGAATAATTGTTTTTTGAATAGCTCCGTACAGGTAATATATGACGAATTATCTTACTCACTCAATTAAAAACAAGAAAAATCACTTTGACTAGTGATTTATGTTCAAAAAACATCAACCCAAATTCAAAATTGCTTTTAAGTGAAATTATGTCTAGACCGTATAGCTTCTGATAAAAGCATGTTAAAATTGTTTCCAGACGAAATTAATATTTTCCGATAATATAAACTACATATCGGCCATGGAATTTGTGTATATACATTTCAGTTAGGTGATGACGTATGCCATATGTGTTATTTAAACCACATTTGATTTAATGTTTTCCATCAAAATTTAGTTTTAAGCTGCAACACCTTATCATATAATTACAATCTAAAGAAATGTCAGCAGTCACTGTAGTACCACCCAAAGCGCCACAATTATTGAGCAATGTGTCCGATCTCTGGTCAAGAAAATGAGTTTTAATGGCTCTCCTCTAGCTACCACGAGATATGAAAATTGTTTTCTTATTTTATAGTTAATTACATAATGACGGGTATTACGGGCTGCGATCTGATAGAAGATAAAAAGTACTTATTATCAGGTAGGTATGCAGTGGCAATATAATGCGACTGATGGTTGGAAAAACTTCCTTAATGGGTATTTTCCTAAGTGCGGAAAGTGATACTTTCCACGTGGGCTTAAGATCATAATATTCTATTCAAAGAATAAAAGATAAATTAGAAATAAAGTTCCTCAAGAAATTATGGGTAGGAAACTAGCAACCTGATTGGGTTTAGTTTTGTTTTAAGATATCTTGAAGGGAAACCAATCAAGAACTGTGAATGTATGAATTTTGAATTTTCAAAATAGAATTTCAACTTTTGTTTATTCCCGGCTCTTAATGTTCACTTTGCACAATAGTTTGGCATTCTTCTAGGTAACCTCTGAACTTCTTGAAGGCCCAAAATACTGCAAGCGCTTCGCGCTCTGTGGTATTATAATTCTGTTCAGCAGATGTCAGCAGTCTAGAAGCATATTCTACTGGGCGCTCATCTAGTCCCTCCTCCTGGAGTAGACACGCTCTCAAAGCGTAGTCACTAGCATCCGTTCGTAGGATATATGGCTGCTATCTGCTTGCCTCAGGATTGGGGCAGAGCATAGAATCGTCTTAAGCTTACTGAAAGCTGCAGCTTGATCTGGACCCCAGGTCCACTTGACGTTTTTCTTGGTCAGTGTCGTTAGTGGCTTAGCAACATCGGCGAAGTTTTCATCAAAACAACGAAATCATGAGCAGGTTTGCATAAATCTTAACAGTTGCTTGACGTATCCCTTCCGTGGAGAGAATGTGTCCTAGATAATAGACGGCTTCACAGGCGAATGAGCATTTAGGTCGATTAAGTGTTAATTTGTATTGCGCAAGTCGCATGAATACTTTCCTTAGGTCGGTCGAATGGTCTTCGAAAGATGATGACATGATGGTCCAGTCATCAAGGTATGCCAACATGGAGACGTCTTGTATTCTTGACCTAAACCTATCGATGAGGCGCTGAAAAGTACTGGGCACGTTGCCGAGTCCAAATGGTATGCGCTTGTAACGGTAGGTATTGAAAGGGCAAACGAATGCAGTTTTGTCCCTATCTGAAGGCTTCGCGCTGATTAGATGATATCCGCTTCTGAGGTCTAAGGTCGTGATGTAACCCCTTTGCTTAGCTGGTGCAAAAGATTATATCGATTCTCGGGATAGGGTATCTGTCTGGTCTGGTCATGGCATTTAAGGCTCGGTAGCCTTTCGTGAGACGTAACTCGTGGTTCTTTTTGGGCGAGGACGACGGGCGCTGCGTACGGTGACTCGCACTCATCAATGTAGTAGCTTTCTAGTAGCTTGTCGAGTTCTTTACGAAGAATCGATTTTGTGGGCTCTGACATTCTATACGGCGATACTGCGATGGGTGTGTCATCCATAAGTACGATGCTATGCTCGACAAACAAAGTCGGATCTTTTGAAGGAACGGAAATTTGAGAAAATTCACATAGAAGTGAGTTGAGTGTACATCCTTGTTCTTCGCTAAACATCCGTGATTCGTTGTCATAAAGTGCGAGTTGATCGTACTGTACAGTATTGATAACGCACATGTTATCAACATTCGAATCGAAAAGGTAAGTATATATAGGATTTTCACCAAAACTATACCGGTTTTGAGGTTAGCCGCGCTTATGAAATCAGGACCAGCTGTTGTCGTGTTCAGGTACAGAGATGAATTTTGTGCAAACCAATCTAATCCGTAGCAGGACATTAGAGAGATTTTGAGCCACATAAATTTTGAAATACGTTATACGCTAAACGATAAACTGAGCAAGCGCAGTCTTTGAAAAATAGCGAATGACATTTAGCCTTTTTTAGTTTTTGAAGCCAAAAGTTGTGAAGGACTTTTAACGCTAAACGTTAATGAAAATTTGTGGTTAGGATTTTGATTTTGTGTAACTAACATCAAATTTTATGTTGTCTGTTGTTTATGTTAGAATTGTTAGGTATTCATTTGTAATTTGTTTTGTGTAATTGTGTACTGCACTTCATGAATAACATTGAAAATATAAAAGGTCGTCGAAATGCGGGAAAGATGTTAAAACGTTATCGGTTAATAACGTTCCGTTTATTTCCACATAATTAGCGTAGTACGTAAGTAACCGCTTATTAAGCGGACCGATAACGTATAACGTTGATCAAATAGGTGGCTTAAAATCTCTCTATTACCTTGAAATATGCGAATGTCAACTCTCCTCGTAACATCGTCTGCTAAAGTCATTAATAAACGCTCGGTGGTGAACGGAACGGAGTCATTTAAACTCAAAATTTTGGCAATAAAGAGTTCAATATGATCAAAACTTTGATGATAACCGGCGCTTGATTTGCGAGTAAATTTTCGTAAAACTAGTCAAGAAGGGTATTTTGATACTACTGGTTCTTGATTGCTCCTACAAGGAGCGCAGAGATCCAAGAGCCGGTAATAGTCCAAATTTTGATTATAGCTGGCTTTTGATTCGCTAGACAATTTTTCTGAAAATGATCAAGATCCTAAAATAGTCAAAATCAGGTCTTGATTCGTGAATACACAGATAATTTAGGTTATAATAGGTAGGTACTATTGCTTCTCATTCCTCATACAAAAAATAAGTCGGGAATCAAGAGTCCAAAATAATCAAAACTTTGATTATTACTGACGCTTGATTTGCGAGTAAATTTCCATAAAGCCCATCAAGAAGGTAATTTTGATTACTATACTGGTTCCTGATTGCTTCTACAAAAAGTGCAGCAAATCAAGCGAGTTCAAATTTTGATTATAACTGGCTTTTGTGATTCGCTAGATAATTTTTCTGAAAATAATCAAAAGTCCAAAATGGTCAAAATCTTAATATTAACCGGGTCATGATTTGTGAATACAAAGATAATTTTGATTATAGGTAGGTACGTGCTCCTGATTTCTCTTGCATAAAATATACAGGGGATCAAAAGCCAGTAAAAGTCAAAATTATGATCAATTTTTTGTACTTTTCTCTAAAGGTACCCCTTTTGGATTTTCATTTGCAAATCTTCAGACCTGAATATCTCGATAACCCCGAGCGGTACTGGGACGAAATTTCCAGTATTACTTATTATGTTTCTTCACTTGCACGAATCTACCAGTTGACGAATCATCTCTGAGAACGATATTTCATGGTGCTATAATGCCTATAAGCACATTTCAGAACAAGTTGGGACACGCTAGATTCCAGAATAAATTAAACTCTATAAGAGGTCTTGTAGCTAAAACTATGATTGGCGCCTATGTCACAACATCGACAGAGGCTGCATCTGTATTGGCAAATGTTCCACTAATGGAGCAGCTAATTATGGAGGCACTTGATGTTGAAAGATTCAGCGCAGGCTAGAATATAGACCAGGAAGGATTTATATTCGATGCAGAACCTAGGCTTAGCAAGAACAACCTTAAAAAAAAACTTAAAGAAAGGACGCTACTGAAGTAGCAAAGGATCTGGGATGAATCAGACACAGGAAGAGTCACCCATAGAATGTTCCCCAATGTGATGGTGTAACGAAGTTACTAAAGTTTTACCGTGTTTCCGTATTCGGCTGACTACAATCTCCATTCTTACTTTAAAACTGCTTAATAAAATAACGGCGATTGTAGTCTGTCGAATAAGGAAACGCGGTAAAACTTTAGTAACTTCGTTACAATGGAAAGACAGAACAACTGCATAAAATTCAATAGGAAAGTAACACAGATGTTGACTGGCCAACATTACAAGAGAATAGGACAAACATTAGAGGACACATGCAACTTTTGTGATATGAATGAGGCTGATGACCCGATTCACTGCCCTGAACTGATGGTGGGAAGATACTTAATTTGCTGAATGCAAGACAAAACATGTAGCTCTTGATAAGAGCTTTTAGATGGAATTTAGCTGAAATCACTAGCATTTATGGCTTTTAAGAAAATGAAGTTTAAAATTTTGAACAAAATATCGACCAAATTTCAACTTTAAAACTGTATATCTCAGAATTTACACAAGATACAAGAACCAATTTTTTAGGGCTTTCAATGCTCTTTCCAATGATGTATAATTGTAGCCAATTTTCTCAAATGTCACCCAAGAAATGAGCAGTTATTCATGAGCCTGTCAAGATTTCAAAAAAATTCTAGAGCCAAAAATGATATTTCCTTTTGGATTTTTTGCTCATCGAAATTTCCAAATGTTACTGATCTTGACGTTATTCCTGACTAATTTCGACTCGCTCTATCGATTTCACAAAACATTGGGAAAAATCCGAAAAGAAAAATTTTCAATTTCTTGCACTTTTTCCTAAGGCAACCCCCTTTGTATTTTGATTTACAAAGACCTGAATATCTCGATAACCACAAGCGGTAATGGGACGAAATTTTCAGTATTTGTAGCTCTTGATAAGGGGTTTTAGATGGTATTTAGCTGAAAACGCTAGCGTTAGGAAAATCAAGTTTAAAATTTTAAACAAAATGTCGACTAAATTTCAA